TGATTTATGGGATAAATATATGGAAAAATAAATGTAATTCCACTGGTAAATGACGATACATCATTTCAATAACAAATACATTTAAAATTGCAAAAGGTATGTTTACATATTGAATGTTAAAGCCCTAGACAGGTTTTTAGGTACAACAAAAGTGTATCTAATTATTAGACTAAATTCCTAAAAAATATCCTTTTATTTTCTACCATTTATACTGGCAAAGTTCATAATACTTATCTTTTGGTTATACAAACAATGGGTCAGAAACAACACTGAATGTGAATGTGATTCCCTAAAAGAATCGGCTCATAATTCATTTGTTCAGGAGTTGGACTACACAGGGAGCACCATATGAGTTTGATTCACTAAAAACAACCATCTCATAAGAGTCATTCACTCGGAAGGTAAAAGAATGGTTCCCTTCAAAATGAAAATTTTGTCATTGTTTACTCACCCTCAATTTTTTTCAAACCTGTATGAATTTCTTTCTTCTCATGAACACAAAAGAAGATATTTTGAAGAAAATTGTTAACCAAACTATAATTTCCTACTATGGAAGTCAATGGGGTCCAACAACTGTCTGGTTACCGACATTCTTCAAATTCTTTTGTGTTCAGCAGGAGAAAGAAATTCATACAGGTTTGAAACAATTTCCTTTTCTGAAGTGAACTTTTCCTTTAAACTTCTCTAGTTTTGATGTAATTTTGATTCACTAAAAAGAATCGGCTCATACGATTCCAACTTCCAACACACAGTCATAAATAATCCTCAGTCTTTTCTGTGCTGTTACTTTCATAACGGTATATTTACATAATATAACTTAAAATGAGAGCATAACTGTGTTTTGAAGTACAAAAAAGAGATTATAGAGAAAGGAGGCTTACTGTACTGTCTTTGTGCTTGAAGAATGGAGTAAAAATGTATGTTATGCTATTTTCAACTCTAGCGTTTTGAGTTTCAATATGTTGACATTCATTATCTGTGAATTATTGACGACATTTGAAAGGAAAATACATAATTGTGCTGGCCCTGAGAGTTGATTACTATATTAATGTATTGAGTTGAAAGTACACGCTTTTTCACCTGCTTGCCTGAAATTGTATGAATGTAACATATTGAAGAGCAGTTTGAATATGTGTGTTTTTTAAAACCTTCCTCTTAATTGGTTTCATTGTAGCAGAGCATCAGTCAGAGCGAATCTTCAGACCCCAACACCTTCCTGCTAGATATCATCTCGTACTACACGCGTGTCAGCCAGCATCCGGTGCATCTTCCCGTCTACTCTGTCAAGGTTACATTCAATCATGCATACAGTACCAATAAATGAATATTTGTGCGAAAAGGACATTGCCCTTGTTCTTACTAAAAGTTTGTCAATATTGTATAAATTGTGAGTTGTTATCAATGACAAAAGCTGAATATCTGTTTGCTGCCACATCTAGATCTGCTTCTCTGGCCTCAGAACCCACACGGTTGAGGAAGTGTTTGTGGCTCAGCTCGCGATGGACTTCCCCGAGGTCAAGCGCTACAGAGCTACGTTTAAAGACACAATTAAAGGTGCTCATGCCATTGAAATGTTTTAAAGTCCCCCTGTAGTCAATCATTTTATTTCTTAAAACTCATCTTTGATCAGCAAAATGACATTTGAAAGTTTTTTCCTTTTTCCTTTTTAAGACTATTTCCTATTCCTAAGTTTTAAGGAGAAAATACTATGCAATGATGTATGAAATGTATGAATTTGCACGTGGTTTGTCTTAAAACACCACATAGACATATGAAACCATTAAAAATGGGGGGTTTCTACACAATATATCTACTGTTTGTGCTGCTTCTTCTGCCTGTACTAAATGTTTGTCATTAAATTTTGCCTTGAAGGTTCTGTGCGTTACAAAAAATACAACCTACAAGAGTTTCATGGTGCAGTTGTGTCAATAAATTATAGAAAGGTGAGTTTCCTCTCAAACTATTGACTCTTAATAAGGGAAGCTAACTAGCTAACATTATTTTGGAAAACATTTAAAAGAATGTTAAGATTTAATCCAATGTTTTAGTATTATATACACTACCGATCAAAAGTTTGGGGTCAATGTGATTTTTTGTTTTAAAGCAACGTTTAGTAAGCATGCGTTAAATTAATCCAAAGTGAGAGCAAAGACTTTTTTTTATTATATTTCAAATAAATTCAGTTCTTTTGAATTTTCTGTTCCTGTAAGAGTCCTGAATTTTTTATTTAAAAGTTTCCTTGAAAATGTGTAGGAGCACAAAAGTTTTCAACATTGACAATAATAAGAAATATTTCTTGCGCATCAAATCATCACATTATAATGATTTCAGAAGACTGGAGTAAAGATGCTGAAAATTCAGCATTATCATCACAAGAATAAATTACATTTTGGTATATATTTTAATAGCAAAGAGTTATTTGAAATTGTAATTATATTTTATGATATTACCAATTTTACAGCATGTTTGATTCAATTAATGTTGCGCTGGTGAGCATGAGAAACTTCTTTTAAAAAACATTAAATCTTCTTAATGACCCTAAACTTTTGAATAGAAACCTATGTAATAAAAGATTTGTTGTTTACATTTCTCTTAGGCCTCAATAAGTGACCGAGAAGTTGAGAAGGGAATGTGTTTGTCAACAAGTGGCGTGTTGATGAGGGTCACACCTTCCTGCAGAGTCAGAAGTACGTCACATATTTACAATACTACATTCTTCTTTTCGGTTTATTTATGGGAAAATTCTTAGAATTAATGTGATTTCAGATAGATTTTATTGTATTTTATTTTAGTATCAATAATTTACTTTTGTAGTAGGCCCTATATTATTTGTATACTTAATATGTGTTATGTTTTATTATCTGTTTCATTCTGTTGTGTTTTTGTTGCTTTTTATTTGTTTCAGTTCTAGTTATTTTAGTTATTTCAATTTAAATTCAATTTCTTAGAATTTGTATATATATATATATATATATATATATATATTAGGGCTGTCAAACGATCAATCGCGATACAAAATAAAAGTTTGTGTTTACATAATATATCTGGGTGCACTGTATATAATTATTTGTATATTTAAAAATACACACACATGCATGTATATTTAAGAAAAAATATTATTTAGATAAAATATTTATATTTATATATAATATGAATTATATATAAATCTATATACAGTATATATACATGAAAATATTTCTTGAATATATACAAGCGTATTTATGTGTATTCATATATTAAAAATAATTATACACAGTGCACCCAAATATATTATGTAAACACAAACTTTAGCTATCAAAGTTTCTCGCGCGCCAGAGCAATTGAGTGTACGCACTGAGACGAGAGAGGAATGCATCAACTCGTCTTAGTTAAGGGAATAACATAGTGGAGTACCCAAAAAATGGTGGAGTATCCCTTTAAGATGAGGAAAATAATTAGTGATGTTAGTTTCCTTGTTTGTAATGTGGCGCTTTGATTCTACAGGTCTACATAGTGTCACCATGAGTTTCAAAGATACGAATCCCACAAGGCCTAGCATGGTGAGTGATTGTTTGGACAGCGCTTATCAAATATTGATTTTTCTGGATGTTATATGTAGTAATCTTGAATGAAATAATAAAGTAAAAAGTGTATTTTCTCTCTAGCCTTCACTCAGAGCTGTCAGTGCCAATATCAGGGTTCTGGAGGAAAGAACATTCACAGTGTGTTTGGATAAAGACCCACATAAAACATTCAAGAATGTCCTGAGGTGAACAGTCAGATTATGCCTTTCTATAAAAATTTTTTTTTTTTTAAATGTTTTACCTCAATGCCAAGCATTACCTTTTAGGTAAACCATATACTGTATACATCCCAGACAGAGCCATTATGTGTGATCTTTTACCCACAGTATTGAAGTTTCTCCATGCTTGGACCCGGCATACTGCCATCAGCAGAGTACCAAATCCAAGTACTGTCTTGGAGAGCGAGGCGAATCACTGAGCAAATATCTGAATAAAACCCTCACGCTACCAATCAACACCTTCTGTGGCAATGAGCAATGACATAATGACTCCAATTCATGATATGAGCCCATATCACAAGCGGAATGAACCTTACACCTCTCTGAGGCTTTTAGTGTTTGTACATGTGCATTTCCTCTTTTTGCCTCTTCTCTTTTGTCTAAAATGCATGTAACCTCAAGAGGCCATGACTTCCTGTTAAACTGTGTACATGCTGTTTATAGACTGTGTGAATGTATACTGCGTTGTGTTAAAATAGTGTCTGAAGATTAATCTCGATCTTAAATGCACGAGTTTTGTAAAAACGTCCTTCAGTCTGCACATTTTGTCATGTTTACACTACTTTTATATAATTTCATGCATGGCAATAATGTGTTTGTATATTACTTTGGACACGTAATTTAACACTTTGGAAGCACTTCGACTTTCATGACACGTACTTGGCAATAATAAACGTGATAGAAAAAAAACGCTTGGATTATTTTGTTGTGGGAATTTTGGATCACAATAGCATAGCATGCTACCCCAGTTTTTCTGCAGTAGCCTATAGGCCTAAACACTTGTGGGTTGGAAACCTGTTTGCCAAAATATGCAGCTATGTGAGGTGTTAAATTTCACAACTTGTTCTCGATTTTTATTTACTATTAGACAAATGAACCTAAGCTAATAGAATTTTGTTTAACATTTTATTTTTTTAAGAACTAAAGAAAACATTAGGTTATATTAAATAAACACCATACAAATTTATAATATTTTACAATAGTCTGACATTCATTAACAGAGCAAGTTCGTTACAGAAATCCTCACATAAAGACGAGGGATTTTGACATTCGGTATTTATGAATAAAGAACTTGGTTCAGAACTTCATACTCAAAATACAGCTTTTTCTTTTTTTCAACTGCAACGCCATATTTAAATGAGATATAAAAGGCGCTCGTGTGACCTTAATTATTTCATTTTAAACCTGAGTTCATCCTCTCACCAACAGATGGCGCTGGAATCTCAAATATTTGAATTTGCTCAGTTTGCTGCAAATAGTCGGCCATTGGTTGTTTGTCAAAGAGAAGGAAAACTTTTCTTGCACCACAACTGGATACGGTATGGACATGAAAAGTTAAAGAAAACTTTAATCGACGATATTTTGTCAAGCAAACCATGGTTTTACGGATACGACAGATCTCAGGTAAATAGTTGCTAAACGCACAGCAACATCATGACGTGTTACAACAGGTGCAGGATTAACCTGTTACTGAGAGGTGTCGTGTACTTACTGAAAAGTAAAGTTTTTTCTTTTAACCTACTCACGCGATTTAAAATAACGTTTTACAGACGTATTAGAAAACATCTGCTTAAACTCTGTTATAATTCTTATGTAGGAGAAGTCATTTCATGAAATTGCGAGATACTGCACGTTGTCTTCCGTATTGTTTTGAAAGATAGCCTACATACCTTTTATTTGTTTTGCTCTCATTTGACATGATACGGTTTGTTTTCTATAAATCTCCAGCTTAAAGAAATCATGATGACACGATGTTTGTTTACTGGACTAAAGAAATCACTCTTGTTCCATATGGAGTTAATTAACGTGACGATATCATATTATGGATTTCTATGAAGCGCGTCGAAGTAGCATTTAAATGCTATAGAAGCCTACATTGTTGTCTTTTGTTACAATTCATGTGACCCATTACTAGGAGAAAATATAAGATTAAGTATAATCATTTCAACTAAGAAAAATTACCAGTATGATATTACTATAAAACTTTTGCATCACCACGTTTTTGGAGCATAATACATAATATCATCAAATTAAAAATATGTAGCAAAAATTCTAAACATTCCACAAGATGTAGGCTACCAATCTATTATCATAATAACATACTGTGTTATTGTTTAAATTACCTGGGAGTACTCAGTGAATGTGTCAAAGCCTGTAAAGTTGCCAATATTTTTTTATTTCAGTTTTTTTCTTTTCTTCAAACCACACAGAACACTAACTCAAGTCGACAAACATGAAGAAGGGAGCTACGCAGAAGAGCAGGCAGTGGAACGTGAAAGGAGCCTTGCGGATGGCTGGCATCTTTCACTTCCTCCATTCCTGTGGCTCCGCTTGCCTCCTTCCCTTCCTGACGCTCTACTTCCGGCACCTGGGTCTCAACGCCGCCATGATCGGAATCATCATGGCGTCGAAGCACCTGCTCGCCCTGGTGTGGCGGCCGTTCTCCAGTGTCCTCTCCAGGAAGTATGACAAACGGCGAACGGTCATAGTGGGCTCGTTGCTCAGCTCGGCACTGGTGGTTTTGACTCTTCTGCTCTTCCCGTCCGCAGTAATCCAAGCTGAAAGCGGACGGTGTAACGCTAGTCAATCCGATGCCGATCCTACCGCGCTTCTAGCCACGCTAGAGCAGTTGACGACATCGCAATCAAACGCTACTGTTTATTCACTGAATCAAACTTCTTTAAGTAAAGCGCTTCTAGCCACGCTAGAGGAGACGACGACATCGCAATCAAACGCTACTGTTTATTCACTGAATCAAACTTCTTTAAGTGCTGAACAACCTTTCGAAGTTAACACATCTGTAAGTCAGAACTGGTCAGCAAGAGGATTGAGATCTTTGAAAAAGGAAGGTCTTTATACTGAGTTCCTGGGGAGCCTGAAAGCTATGGATGCCCAACACCAGATGTTCTTTCTGGTTCTCATAGTGATGGTATTATGGGAGTGCATGGCCGCCCCGTTGGAATGGACGGCAGATGATGGACTGTATGAATACTTGGATTTCGTAGATGCCACCGACCGCTATGGTGTTGTGAAAGTCTGGAAGCAACTTGGGGCGGCTTTTGGCAACTGTGCAGTTGGTGTTCTAGTAACCAGCCTGTTTTGTCTAACAGGAACTTCAGTGGAGTTTTATTCCTATACCGCACTCATGATCCTAACCATACCGATTGCCGCCTTACTACCAATCTACCTCCGAAAGCGTGACCGCCTCACTAGTGGCGGCTTTAAGGCACTGCAATTGGTGCATGGAAACTCACAGGCGATACTATGTGCCATCACTGTTGTTTTGATGGGCATGGTGACCTCAGCTGTGTCGGATTTCCTCCTCTGGCAGATGCAGGACTGCGGCGCGACGGAAATCCACATGGGAATCTCTTTAGCCCTGATGCACCTTAGCCAGGCTGCCTTTGCTCCACTTTCTGGGCATCTCTCCCGGTTTCTTAAGTACCACGGTTGGTTACTAGTACTCGCCGTCGTCATTTTAGCCCTGCAGTGCCTTTATTATTCCTTCTTGTGGAGCCCGTGGGCCGTAATACCCGCTCAACTGATGGCAGGATTCAGCACAGGCGCCCTCTGGTGGTCTGTAACATCGCAAAGCGAAGACATCGCCACTCCAGGCACCGAAAAGACCATTTTAAGGCTGTTTGAGGCACTTTCTCTGGAGCTGGGAGCTGCATTTGGTAGTCTGATGGCCGGCTTCGTTGTGCAAAAATTTGGGCTCATGTTGCTTTTCCAAGGTGCGGGGGTCGTTTTGGCTTTGTGGAGTAGCGCTCTTGCTGTACTCAAGTGGAAGATTCCTCGGCAGCGGCGGATAAACTACTCGCGGTTGCTGGCCACCGACACCGAGGTCAGTGAGTCCGAGTCGGACCAGGAGAAAGATTGGCTGGAGACAGCAATGGAAGATGACAGAGGGAAAATAACTGGACAATGGAAAGTAAAGTAAAGAGTGACTTGTTAACATCTACAGAGAGCAATTTAAAAGAACTGAGAGTAAAATGACACTGAAATTGTTCATTAAACTTTAAAAAGAAAATCTTACTCAGTATTTTTTTGTCTTGTTTTCCATGTATCAAAATATTCTTAAATCAAGATTTGTTTACTTGAGAAGGAAAATTACTCAAATTTAAGTATGTTTTTGCTTAAAACAAGACAAAAATATGTAAATGGGGTATGAAATATAAACTTATTTGAAAGGGAAAACAAGATTATTTTTCTTATTGCATTGACACCCCATTTCTTTTTCAGAAAACAAGACTCAGTAATATCAAAAGTCATTTTTCCTAGGAAATGTATCTTGATTTAAGAATGTCTTTATTTGTAATGGAAATTGAGACAAAAATACCAAGTCAGAAAATATTTTTTTGAGATTGCTATGAAGCCAAATCCATCAGTTATGAAGTTTCTGGGATCATTTAAGGCTTTGAGAGAAGAAGAACTGGGGTGGTGATGGCGCAGTGGATAAGACGCATGCCTTTGGTGTGAGAGACCCGGGTTCGAATCCATTGTGAGACACCAATGTGTCACTGAGCAAGACACTTAACCCCTAGTTGCTCCAGAGGCGTGCGACCTCTGACATATACAGCAATTGTAAGTCGCTTTGGATAAAAGCGTCAGCTAAACGTCAATAAATGTAAATACATTACAGCTCCAATAATTGAACATCCTAAAATGATCATGATTCTTTTGTGAAGATTTATACGGCAGCTCTTTGGTAAACTGATGGGACTATGACTGGAGATGAGCTGATCTGGTTTGTATGCTTACAGTAAGTGTGTGAGCAAAACGGCAATAATCACATGAGCAAATAGTGCCGATTGTTTAACATCTTCACACCCTTTCTTTCCCACTCATTCTTATGTTTTGAAAATACTTGTGATCTGAAGGCACGCCTCAGTTACCTATGCAGAGACTTTATTGTATTTGTTGTGTATGAGGCACTCATGTTTTGCACTATTAGGTGTACTAAAAGGGGAGAGGTTTATTGAAAATAATCGTAATAAAAGTGTCATATTTACAGATTAAGCCTAACGGACTGAGAAAGAGATGCTTGGCTTAGATGTGAGATTTGCCTAACTTGTATTGGGGTGAGGGGAAACTTCCCAAACTTGTTCTTGAGTACATTAGTTGTGACTGGTAATTCTTTTTTTAAAAATGTGAGGAAGGATTGGAATAAATATTTTGTACGTTTCATATATTTGAAGTCAAGAACATCTATTAAATTATTATTTCCACTTTCAACAAATGCATGAAGTCAAGTTTTTTTCTCTCTAAAATGTCTTGATAAACCCTGTACTGTAAAAAGGGGTGTACTTTGATCCTGTTTGTCCAGCATTAACCGTTTTATGACATTATTATGTAATGGAATCAATAACCTTGAATTTGCCGTGTTGATATTTCATGGCTTGGCATTGTGTGTCAGTGTTGATTTCCGTTGGATCGGAACTGACGCTGCTTTAATATAACAATGTGCATTGACACTAGGGTCAGACCACATAGCTAAAAGTGTTTTGTCCTCAATTGCTGCTTCAAAAGCATAATCTATCAATGCAACCAGGCTGTTAATGGCTCAGCAATAGATACCTTCCCGTAACACATTCTTTAGCTGAATCCCAACAATTTCTGTAGGCATTCCCAGTGCAAAAGTATGTATGTTTATCTTTTATGTCCTGACTGTTAAACCACTTGATTTGCCATTCAAATTGATTCATGCACATTTTCAGATTATCACACTTACAGTAGAGGAAAGCCTGTATCATGCAGATGATAGATTTATGTTAGTATGCTCTTATAAACTTTCTAAGAATTTGTGGATCATTCTTTTAAGTTGTATAGCCAGTCTTACAGCTTTTGTAACAATACTTGTCTGGTTTTTAGTTTTATGAATATTAACATGACAAAAGGCATCAAGTCCAATGACCCAAAGGCTGAGAACGTTTCACATTTTAAAAGTATCTACTACAGTTGTGTTACTTTTAGATGTTTGAATTTTGACTTTCCATAAATGTCAACTTGAACTAACAGAAAACAACATGGTTTTATGTGAATTTATACTTCTGGCATTGCATGTAAATAAGTAGCTAATAGTAGGCTTTTTATTCAAGTGGTATTTCACATTTTGCTTCTGTGATATTGTTGGGTATTGCTAATTGGTAATTACGGGGATGTAAAACAATATTTTAACTTCCATTTTAATCCATGGCACCATAATACATATGCCAAGAATGTTATTGTATGTGGGAGAATACCCACAATGCATTGTGAATTCCCACGTCTGGCCAGGAGATGGCGCTCGCAGCTCAATCATCCATCCGTCCATTTTCCAAACCGCTGGTCCAATGTGGCTACAGCGTAATATCTTGCAGGTACATTTCTTTTTTATTGATTTTTAAATGAGGTTTAATTTCCACAACCGAGTTCAGGATACATCATTTTCTTACTACCGGAGCTGCTAGTTTGATTTGATTTAAATAATTATTTGATGCTCACTCGTTTTCATTTACTCTTTCAAGTGGACGTATTAGTGGAGTGAAGGGAATAGTAAATGAGGGTTGGCTATAGCCAGGGGGCAATTTTGGAAACATCCAGAGTAGTTGTGGTTGTTTACATTTATAAATTGCAATATTATGTGCTTTAAGACATTCTTAAGTAATTTATCGCGGTCTCGTCGTGAGTCGTGACACTTTGCAGACTATGGCTGGCTGCTGTGCTCGTTCATGTGTATTGGAGGAGCTGTGGCTTTGGAGACTGCCAGCCAAACATACCTTATTTGTATGATAATTTTGATATGATGTAGCCTACGACCAATAATGAAAAAAATCCCATAATGTACGATCATTTCAGAATTTTGTGAAACTTCAAATGATGATTGTTGAATCCTGGTTCTAAAGTTACCATTATGGTTTTGAGGAGAACGTGAACGCGTTGAGCTGGTTTAGCTATAAAGTAACTTAATTTGCAGTGTCAAAAAGTTTATGGTCTAGAACTCTACATAAATGTATTCTGTACGTTTGACTCATGTACAATAATTTCTTCCAAATACAATAACTTCGAGATTATGGTATACGATACGACATTTCCAAACTAGGAACACTGTTTCAAAGCTAGCTTTCTGTTAGCCGCTGTTAAAAAAAAAAAAAACAGCTGTTAGCTTTCTGTTATTTCTGTTTTATAATTATGTTTTTTATATATATATATATATATATATATATATATATGAAAGTGTACATGTTCAATGAGATGCTGTCTAGTTATCATATTTTTACAACTTAAACGGTAAAGTATACGTTTTGTATATGTTTAACTTTAAAAGAAAGGTATATTCTATATTTGATCTCAATTATTGAACATTTAACTTAACGTCCCTTTTCTCGTTATTCACAGGGTGGCGCTTTCAGGTTATGGGAGAGTAATCGTGTTGAGCATCTACAATGTGTCACACTGACTCATAGCAGCATCGGTCGGCAGCAGGTGTGAGCGAGCGCGCGCATCACTCAGCATCACCGATGACATGGAGTTAAAAACCTCCATCAGTCAAACTGCGCTTTAATACACCGGCCGAGGAGCAAAGCAGCGACATTCTGCTCCTGCTCCTGCTCAAACTTCAAGTGTGTTGTGGAGCTTCACGGAATGGAGAAAGGACGAAGCACTCCGAAACAGTACGGATCTCTGGATCAAACAGAGCTCTGCGAAGAAACAGGAAAACAAGGTGGGAAGAATATTATGAACAAATTCATCCGTCTCTGTGTTTATGAAGGTGTTTGAGTGCGTTCACATTTCATAGGCTGCTTGACTTCATTTTGACGAAAGAACTTACTTTTACATCGATGCAGTTATCTTTACCATTGTCAACTTACTTAGAAATGAAGTTATAGTGTCACTATAACTGTATATAGTATGTAATTTATAGTGCCACTAATAGTTACAGAAAGCTACATGCATGCAACGTAAAGACATTATTTTAATTAAATATTTTTGAGAGTGCAATTGACTCATTAATACAAACAGACAACAGGATACAAATCTTATAACTGTTTTTATTATGAATTATGAAACATTCACTAGCGCTTTTCACAGTTTTCCTTCCATACAATATCTTTAGTGAATATTATTTGGATCTTAATGTTAGAAAGACTGCTCAATTACTTTTTGTTTCAATCTGAAGTGTAGTAACATTTCTTAGGGCTAGTAATTGGCATGATTTGTCCCTCATTTAACAGTAAATTAGATTTTAAAGTTAATTTTCCTTTTAGGTCCCAGTATCGCTTTCATCCCAGGAATGCTATATACTCACTCCTGTGTTTTTTTTAAAAAATTTTATGATCCAACAAAGGAAATGCAATAATGTTTTCATCATTATACAGAAATAGTGACAGCAGGGTGGAAATAGCGAGACTGCTTTCTGCTGTCGTGACTGATCCTGACTAAAGAAATCCCAACAAACAGACCTTGTGGGAACTGAATGCTCACCAGTGGAGATTGATTATCAATAAATACTTGGTTGTGATGCCCGTTCAGCAGGTATTCCTTAAAATGTATTCCTTCTCACTTTAGTCGTAATGGAGACAGCAGACTCGTTCTGTGATCTTTTAGTTCTTTAAAGGATTACTGGTTGATTATGCTTAAGCATGCGTTTTTTTACTCAGGGTGTGTTCAGTTTATTTAACTAAAGGCCATTAGATTTGAAGTGATCATTAGTGATGGAAGATTAAATCAATTGTATATTCCACATCACAGATTCATTCCAAATCCATATGAATATTTAGAAGAATTGTAGTTTCTCTTGTTCAGATTGAGGAAACTTAAAAAAAGACACAAACATACTATAAATGTGTTGCAACCGCTTGTAGCTTTGTGTGAAGAACAAAGCAAAATTGAAGCCAGTATTTTCTGATAATATTCTCCAGTGGGATGTCAGGGAGTTGAACTTTTGAACAGTCTGATTTGTAAACTACTAGACCAACTGCATAATTTGTTGGAAGGATTTGAAATGATTATATCATATAATGAGAAAGTTGTAGAACAGATGGTGTCCTTACAGTATAATGTGATGATGCCAACACCATTCTGTTAAAATCCCATCATTATATTTTTAATCATGAGGCACAATATGGCAAGACGTTAAATCTGGAACATGCAATTAAAACTGTTAGAGAAACATTCAACTTCATTGACTGAAAGAATTTGGTTCTCCGCATGACAATATGCCTCAGCAAACAGCCGTGGGAATGTTTCAATCAGAGTATAGAGATTTTTATGCAAAGCGACCAAGCAAATTGCAAACTGTCTTTGTGATTCAGCTTTTCTGCATGACATCACTGAATATCTGAG